CGGCACATCGAGATGCTACTGACCACAATTCTGGTCCTCGGCCTGAATCGATGTTGGATCGCCTGCCGCCACCTCGTCCACTTGCTCCCTTCCCCACGCACGGTGGCCGAGAGCCAGGACAGACGTCGCCTACAACACCTGATTCGGATTCTGATGGCTCGGTGCGTCCACATCCAGGTGCCTCCTCGTTCCGGCCGTCTCCTACGGTGGTTCATGGTCCTCGCGAACTTCTACAAGAATTCACCATTGCACTTCGCAATGCATACCGTGAACCTTTCACGGCATGGACACAGGGTGAGCTGGATGAGATGGTGCGTCGGAAGAAAGACAAGGATTCCAGGCCCACCTATAAGACCATTGCTCGGTTTCTTCAGAAGCCCATTGAGGAAGTCAAGCAGGCATGGAAGGTCTATCAGCAGCTTGAGGCTCGCGGCTAGAAACGCGGTCGTCAAATGCAGCAGCGACCACCGGAAGACTAAATGGCAGGCCGTGACAGCGTGTTCGGCTTGTGTTATTGATCACATGTGATTTGCTTGCTTGCACGTGACTTACATTTTCCTTGGAAATATTGATTGCCGTGTTGATGCTGCCGTTGAAGTGAATTCATGACTGAGTTGCTCAAATCATGTCGGAACAAGTTGTACAGACGTATATTACCTGGACCCATGGAGCACAGCCGACGTGGTTACAATTTCATGGACCCGGGGCCTTACTTGATAGGCCCATTCGACAGACTACGTCACCTCCGGCCCCGCCAAGTTTCCCATTGCTTCTTCCACCTCCTCCTCCGCCACCACCACCACCACCGGTGATTCTACACCCACAGTTTATGCCCTCGGTACGCAGCCCCTCGATCTCAGCCCCTCGCGGACAATCCTGCCCTATCTCTTCGAAATCGCAGCGCACACGCCGCTCGATCTACAGCACTGACCATTCCCGTGATGAAGAACTACGCAGTCCAGGGCGCTCGTCCAAACGATCTCGGACAGCATCCGCTTCGGCACCGCGGCGATCTCGACGGCCTTTTACAGTGTTCCCCTCCAAACGTGCTGGCCGGCCATCGTTGTCCCCATCGGCAACTTGCAAACATTACTGTCACGCCATCCTGCGCCATGGGCGAAAATGTCTTTCCCCTTGTGATCGTAGACGACCAGGACACTACCATTGCAGGTGTGCGCGACATCAACGACGGTGAAGCCTAGGAGTCGGATATTACACACCTTGTTGCTGTGTTTCACCTTGAGTTTGAAAAATTGCCTCACTCTCCGGCAGCTGTGTGCGGTTGCCATTGCATGTGTGTCTTTGCCGCAGACTTTCGATTGCTTTTAGCGGCCGCGCGAGAGCCTGTCTTGCCGCTATGAACCCTCAGTATTTCGAGTACCAGATCGACAGAGGCGTGGAATGGATTCGAATTTACTCTCCGGGTATCTGGAGACCCGCTCCCGATGATGCTCCAGTTCTGGACCCAGTCTACGCTTCCACATATCGGGAGTGGCGCAGGTCTTATCGCTTCCAAGTGTACTGGTCTGAAGACAGCACCGGAGGCACAACAACGGATCCCATTGTCACGCCCAGTTCCTATGTGTCTTACCATGTGTGGGAGTACCGTGACTGGCAAACACGAGGGTATCAACGACTTGGAGCTCCTGTACCAGCCATTGCGCTCGCGATGCTCGTGAATGCAGACGTCAATTCCTCGGTGGGCTCATCGGTGCCGGATGGGGCGTGGCGGGAGCCGTCGCCGCCACCATTCTATGATCCTTGGAATGATTCGGAGTGACACTTGAGTAGCATGTCGGATAAATAATGTGGTTGTGCTTGCTTTGTATGAGAGTCCATGTTGGGTTGTCTTGCTTGGTGGTGCTTGTTCCGTCTCTATTTGTTCGCTGCTTTCCTCTATGACTGTGAGCGATTAGCCGGGTGGAAATGTTCAATTGTACAGTGTATGGTGCAGCACGATGGGGCCTGCCTCGCTACTTTGACTACGACATCGTCAATGGGCCAGCAAACACGAGTGTGGAATGGATTCGGATCTATGTACCGGGTCCGTGGCATCCAGTCGCCGCGAACACCTTGGGACCGGCCCCGGATGACTCAACCACCTATCGCGCAAGGTCCACCACTTCGAAGTGTACTGGCCTAGGGAAAGCACGGGCGGCGCCAACACAGGCGCTGTTTCGCAACCGGTATCTTATGCGACCTTCTATACTTGGTATTACAGGGACTGGGTCACCAGGGGATACCAACGTCTGGGTCGTCCACGCCCTAGCATAGCGCGGCCAGTTTTCGCTTCGGGCGCACCGGACCTCATGTATGCTGGACTGACCTCGTCATCGGCATCCTCCAACTCACATGATGACTGATGCTCGTCCTCACCTTCCTGGGAGTCTGTTCAGTTCAATTCGATTCGGGAGATTGTCTTCGATACTGGAACCGTGCAGTGCTGCAAAAGTGGTTTCTTGCATTGTGGCAGTTGTCTTGCTTTCACTTAGTGTTGTCTGCAGCCATACACCTATCAATTTGTCTTTCCGGGGTTGCGTTGTCATGGCGTGGCTGGAATGGTGTCCGGACCCTCAACAACCAGATGCCCAGTGGGTCAAGATCTTTCATCCGGGATCATGGACACCTCATGAAGAACATGATGCTCCACCCCCTCCGCACACTTACAGAGAATGGAGGGAGTTCTATGCTCCCAACCAAGACGCAGTCGGTGGGCAGGTCCCAGTCACCATGTGGTACAAACGAGACTGGGCCACAGAGGGCTATCGGAGAGTAGCTGCCCCTCAAGTTGGTCATGAATTTGATTCTATGTATTCTCCTGATCATCACAGCGTGGCCACGCAGTCTGCGGCATTGAGTATGTCACCGCAGCTGTTAGAAGCGATTCTCAGGTCCTCGGATGCGGCTGATTTCTCTACCGAAGAGCTGACTCGTCTCCAGGAGGGGATTTCTCAACAACTGACAGCTCGCGCACGTCAAGTTTCCCAGCCTCATCAACCAGTACGTGCATCGCGTGGAAACACACCAGTGGAGACGGTTGGGGTCTCCGAGCCCTACCGACCCGTGAATCCTTCCGACAGTGACAGGGACAAGGCGAGCCCCATCTTCGAGGTGACTGAGGACTAGTCTCGCATGAGTGGCACAGCGTACAAAATAGGGGTGGTCTCTACACTTGCATGATCTTGCTTGGTTGTTGTGTGTACATGGTTGTTCATGGTTGTTCATGGTGCCTGTCCCTCTATCAGCTGGATCGGAGCCCGCGACAATCCTTGCCTCTCACTTCGACATGGACATCGATGATTCGAAGCAGCACCCATGGCTCGAATACTCGGTCTGGCAGGAACAGGAATGGGTGCGGATATACACTCCGGGACAGCCTCAACGATGGCGCCGCGGTGACACTGTACCTGTTCTACCTGAGAATTCTTTTCGGGAATGGCAGCGGGTGACTGATCCCAATGAGCCTGTCCAGGCGTGGGACATCCGTGACTGGCAGCATCAGGGATACCAGCGTATTCTGTCTCGGCTGGAGTCCTTCGCCACTCATTATCCGCATGATCAACCTCTTGCACAAGGTCGGAACTCCGATGCCGTTCCAATTGAGGAGACGTTCACCTACGCCACCCCGTTTTCCCATGGTGATCGCCAGGCGGCGTCGCAACTCGCTTCAGTCCTCTATGGCGATACTCGTAACGCTCCACGTGGTGATCTTTCGCTCCCGTCTTCTGAGCGGTTTAGGGCTGTGTCTCGCTCCCCTCGCCGTGTTGGATATTTTGGTCAACGATAGAGATTCGGGGTGAAGCGTATGATCTTCCTGCGGAAAAAGAGAAACCTCGCCCCTCGTTGAGGGGCGTGTGTGTGCGGAGTGGCAGAATACCCTGCCACCAAACCTTGTTCCGTCACAGCAGGGGGCACAGGCCCATGGTGGTGACCTGTGCCAACGAAGCTAACCACCATGGGGGAAACGCGGACTGATCATCCGCGTGTACCTGCTTTTGTGAAGTGATGTTTCTGAATGTCCTTTTGGTCCCCTCCCTGAACCGCCGTTGCTTCTTTGTGCCCCTGTTAAAGTAGCTACAGGGAAGCCATGTGTATTGTGAGCCGAAACTTATCGCACTCGAGACTTATCAGTTGTACTCGAGACTCATCAGTTGTACTCGAAAGATTAGCACTCTCCATCTGGAGTTCAAGTGTGTGTGTTTGTGTGTGTGTGTGTGTGTTTGTGTTTGTTTGTGTGTGTTTTTGTGTGTGTGTGTGTGTGTTTGTTTGTGTGTGTGTTTGTTTGTGTGTGTGTGTTTGTGTGTGTGTGTGTGCGTGTGTGTGTGTGTGTGTGCGTGTGTGTGTGTGTGTGTGTGTGTGTGTGTGTGTGTGTGTGTGTGTGTGTGTGTGTGTGTGTGTGTGTGTGTGTGTGTGTGTGTGTGTGTGTGTGTGTGTGTGTGTGTGTGTGTGCGTGCGTGTGTGTGTGTGTCTGTGTGTGTGTGCGGGTGTGTGTGTGTGTGTGTGCGGGTGTGTGCGGGTGTGTGTGCGGGTGTGTGTGTGTGTGTCTGTGTGTGTCTGTGTGTGTCTGTGTGTGTGTCTGCGTGTGTGTGTGTGTGTGTGTGTGTGCGGGTGTGTGTGTGTGTGTCTCTGTGTGGGTCTGTGTGTGTAAGTGCGCGTTTTCACGCGCGTGTGCATTGCCTGTGCTTGTGCACGGGTTTGTTCGAGTCGGTTTGCATGTGCGGGTGTGTCTAAGTGCGCAAGAGTGTAAGTCCGCGTCTTCACGCGCGTGTGCATTTCCTGTGCCTGTGCACTGTGCACGGGTTCGTGCAAGTCAGCTTGGAAGTACGGGTGTTTCAAAGTGCGCAAGAGTTCGCGCGTGTGTCATTGCAACTTTTTGTGCATGGTTTTGTGCTTGCGTGTGTGCACTTGTGCGTGCGGAGTTCGCGCGAGTCGGTTTGCGAGTCTGGGCCTTTCGGTGTCTTTCTGAGCGCGCGGGACGTTGGATCTGAGCCTTCCGTCAGGTGCGCCATCTCACGTATGCAATCGACGAGGTGCAGAAGAGCCTGAAGCTGGGCCGCTTGGACGCACGCGTGCGTGACATGCGCGTCGAACAACCGGACCGGATCAGCTTGCCAGGCCGGAATGGGGTCTGAGATCGAGCGGAATGCCTCATGCCTCGTGTGAGCGTGCACCTCCTAAGGAGTGCACTCGGTTTTTGCGCAAAGTCGCTTCTAGCTCCAGGATTCCATGAGTTTCATGTGAGGCGCTTGGCACCTGGCATTTTGGCATTTTGAGATCGAAAAAGATGGACTGCACGCGAACGAGACCTTTGGGACCGTTTCCGAGCACTCGCCAGGCGGGAGGGAAGGGACGGGGACGCGCCTGGCGGCGGAGGCCCTGCATTCTCAAGGCACGCGCCGAGTCCGAGTGATCCGAGTTTCAGCCGCGAGCGCCCAGCTGAGCTCAGTTGCCCCGTTTCAAGGGCCCTTGGCAGCGGAGCACACCACGACCTTGAGCTCTGCGCTGCTGGACGGGGGATCTTGGCATCGCCCGAAAGGGATGCCTTTCCAGTGCTTAAGGGAGCAAAGTGGTCGAAAGGAACACGAGGCGCATCCGCACAAAGGCATTGCCGGGCTGCTGGCAGGACGTGGACGAAGACGTTCGAGAGCTAGCGGCTCTGACGCTCTTGGCCACCGGGGAGGTGCCAACTCCGCCCATGCCTTCCCATGCATTTTGGTGCGAAGGCGAGCCTGCCTTGCCAGCGCCGTCTCATGCGCACGGCGCTGAACGACAACGCCCTTTGCTCGGAAAAGCGCTGAGCCACAACATGCCACAGGTTTGGACGTTGGGAAGCTCTTTGAATTCCAAGGCTTCACACGTGCAGGCTGCCGCCATCTGTGTCTTAGAGCTCCTGAGCGGACAACTTGCCTCGGCCTCGGGAGAGCGGCCGTGTTTTCCCCCGGTCGCCCCACTTGAGATTGCTCAGCGCATCTCAATGAGTTGATTGCGGCGCTCCGACTCTCGGCTTCTGACATTCCGAGTCGCAGTTTTTCGAAAGGCTGCCGCTGACTTCGCGGCGGAGCTGGCCGCTGCTCTGGAGAGCGACCGCGTCTCCGCACGCTGGGCGCTTGGGCGCATGTGAGAATGCTGAGCGTGAGACAGGCCGAGAGAGGAGATAAAAGGGATGTTGCTTTCATTCGCTTTCGAGTGCGAGGCTGGGGTGCACTGAAAGCACTGCAAGCGCTGGGTGCAGACGCGGTGGGGGCCTGAGGGTGCAGAGCATTTTCGCGGCAGATTCTCGAGAGGCAACTGAAGCAAGAGATTCAGACAATCAGAGAGAGAGAGAGAGAGAGAGACAATTCAAGATGCAAAATCACAAGGGCAGACGAACAAAGTGATCAAAATGTTCAAGCCTCCGAAGGGGGCTTGGGTCAGGTGGAGCCCTACGCCCACCAGTTGGCCCTCCTTTTGTGCGAGCCTAATGCGGGGAACTGGAGCCGAAGGTTTCGGAGCCGCGAGGTTGCCGATCGCTTCCGAAGGCTTAAGGTCGATATGCCGAGAGCTCCAGGTCCTGAAAAGTCTTATCGAGAATCGTCGAGAATCGAGAGACTTCAAGTTGGTAGATTGCAGCTTTGGGGCACAGATGGGCACAGCCACGGCCGTGCCATGCCGTCATGTGGGTCACGTGGGGCGCGTGCTCCGTGCTCAGTGCGGGGCCTCAGCACTTCCGAGGAACGGGGGGGGGGGTTGGGCACACTGCCGTACCTGGTGCTCCAAGTCGGAATGTCGGCCCAACTGCGGCCTGGCTCAAGCACTTGGGACATGGCCCGCACCAAGGGGGACAAGGTGCAGAAGTCGGAGGTGCGCAAGGCGGGTGACCTGGATGGCCCGGATCCGGACGGACCGGACGGACCGGACGGACCGGACGGACCGGACGGACCGGACGGACCGGACGGACCGGACGGACCGGACGGACCGGACCTGGATGGGTCGCACACGGCATCTGCGACATTGCCCGCAAGCGCGGAGAAGAAGGGAGGTCCCACGCTCGTGGGACCCCATCCTTGTCCTCACAGTCCCGACGGTCTCGACGTGAGTGAGGTGTCCGAGTCGAGCGAGCAAGCCTCGGACTCTGAGCCCGTGAAGAAGCTGCGAAGCTACGTTGTCGACAACGATTCTGGGGTGGCTTTGATCCTGCAGAGGTCCAAGAGGGTCACCTGGGTTTGGGCGATGAGAACCAAAGAGGTGCTTTGGACTCATCGGGTCCGCGGGCAAGTGGAGAAGACAGCTGTGGGCCAAGGCTACGTGGCCTTCGCCACACGCCGATCTGTGCAGGTCCTGAGCTTGTCCGGGTTTCCGGTGTTCCCCGCTTTGCTGGAGAGGTGTTTGCAGCTGTCGCTGCAGCGGGGGCATCTGCTGCTGCTGACGCAGCAGGGGGACCTCAAAGTGCTGGACCTGGCGCGCCGCGCGCTCCGCGCCGCGCTCTCCGTGGCGCTGGCCGCCGCCCCCGCGGAGATCCAGGCGCTGCACCTGGAGCCAGCTGAGGCGACTGAGGGCCCGGCCGAGCCGAACGAGCCGAAAGGGCCGTCACAAGAGCGGCTGGAGCCCGTGCTGCACCTGGCAAGCCGGAAGCTCCGGTTCCGCTGCGGCCAGTGGACGGAAGTGCCGGAAGTGGAAAGACCCGACTTGGGCTGAGATGGCTTGAGGCGGCTTGAGGTGGTTTAAGCAGCACTTTGCCAAACCCATGCGGGTATCAACGTGTTAACTGGCTCGTGCCTTGTGCGCCACATTCGGCAACCCATAACACGGGGGAAGGGGGCAGCTTCATTCCTCTGGCATGCGGCATGCTTAGCTGTGAGCCTCGCCTCGCTCGCCTCGCTCTAGGTGCCGGGCAATGCTTGAGCGGTTGGCGCTCGGTGAGCTTGGGCGCTGGCATTCTGGAGCAGCCGTTGCGGTCCATGGAATTTTGGTTCATTGAGTTGATTGGGTTCATTGGGTTCATTGGGTTCATTTGGTGCGTTGGGTTCGTTTGGCGCGGGCAGAAAAAGGCGTGCCAGCGCGCACCCGCATTTTGCACCCGGACTGGGCTGAGGAGTGACGATTCCTGGTTTGTTCGCAGCCTGGCCACGGAGCTTTTGCTGGAGCCGAGGGCTTGGAGTCTTTGAGTCGTCCCCCTGGCCTGGCCGCGGGCTAGGCTCGGACCACGTGGTGCCGAGAACAGCCAGCCCGTGTTGGTGAAGGCCTTCCGGTTGGGACTGGGAAGGGGCCGGCGGCCGGAGGGGTAATGAGGTAGCGAAGCTCAGGCGCTGCACAACTTGGACCAGGAGGTGCGACGGACTGCGGCCATAGCTTTGGGCAAGCACGGTCAGGCGCGAGAGCGAGCGCGGAGGGGGGAGAGGAGACGCATGAGACGTGCACGATGCACGCATGACAGTGAAGGATGATTGAAACGTGAGGGGGGGAGAGGAAGTTTAAGAACGAAAGGAGTTTTTGTCTGCCAGACTGACGGGAAATCGGACATCTTTTGACGAGACTGTTCACTGAGGTCGCCTCCTGCCGTGCCAGCGCCTTGTGCACGCGCATGCTGGCCAACCGCCCCGGCGTCAAGAGCCCGGGACCCCACGTCACCTCATGCGACACGCCACGCGTGACGGGCCGTCGGCTTCCAGGCAACGACCCCGAAGTGGACCTCAGCAGGGCTCACAGTCTGGGAGCGAGCGAGTGTCCGAGCGTCCGGCGTGCGGCACCGTGCACTGTATCGAGGTGAACGACTTGACGTGAAGACTGCCTGCATGCCCGGAGCCTGGGCACTTGGGCATAGCCGAACTCCGAATTCCCGAAGCGTTTGGCCAGGTGGGCACTGGGTCAACTTCATCCAGATTCCGCCCTGTCCCCAACAAGAGCTGAGCCTGGTCTAGCGGTCAGTGCCAGGTGGTTCCACTCCTCCACCACCTTGATGATGGGCTTTTCCACCGGAATTCCGAGTGCGCTGTGCCAGTGAGTGGTGTTTTTTAGCGCTTCAGCGCTTCAGTGCTTCAGCGCTTTTTCGGGAAGGTACCGCCTGGCCGCCACCGAAGCCCTGCACAACTTGGGCCCCGCGGCGGTCGAGCTCCGCAAGGAGCGATCTCCGAATCGAGCGATCTCCGAATCTCCGGCCGCGCGCGGCGCGCGGCGTGAGGATCAGCTCGGCACCATGGCGTCCACCGACCGGGATGACCGCGCAGGGCGCCTCAGGGTGCCTCAGGGTGCCTCAGGGTGCCTCAGGGTGCCTCAGGGTGCCTCAGGGTGCCTCAGGGTGCCGCAGGCAAGCGGTTGGCGCGTGGGCCAGGAGAGGGGAAAGGGTCGGAAGGGGGGGAAGGGGGGGGAATGGCTATCTTCGCTTCTGGCTTTTTTTCTGGTGCGGCGCTTGCTGGCCCTGGCGCCATTCAGTGGGTCGGGCTCCTCAGAGGTCTCTGTGATCATGAGCTGCAAAGGTGTCCGATGTCCGTTTGCAGAAGTCTTTGTGGACACACCTTGACCTGCCTCAGCTGGCAGCCGTCTGCTCAAGCACAAAGGGGGCAAGATGATGGGCGCAGCAATGAAAATGCCGCTCGGCTGAACAAGGTGTTTGATATGAGTTGCTCTCTTTGTGTCAGGGGTCGCGCTGAGAAGATGAAGGTCAGCGCGACGCACTACGTCTTGACACTTGCCTTACAGCCCTTAAAGTCACACGCGACGTATGGCACGGCAAGGGCCATTGCGTGACACTCAGGAAGACTCCGATGGAGGGACCGTGGCCTGCCAACACCAAGGCGCGGCGACTGGCGACTGGCGACTGGTGACTGGCATACGCCCAGGTGTGTGTTCTTGCGAACGGCTGCTTCTGGGGCTCGGAGAAGGGCTTCTGGCGCCTGCCAGGCGTTGGCTTCTCATGGCATGTTCTGCCTGGGCCGTTCGCACAGGCGGAGGCATCTATTCCACAGCCGTTGGCTACGCAGCTGGGCAGACACCGAACCCCACCTACGAGGAGTGCAAGAGGGCAGGCGTTCTCCGTTGGCTCCGGGCCAGCTGAGACAGGAGTGCTGCTCCGGGCAAACAGGCGCCACGGAGGCGGTGCAAGTAGCCGCTCGGAAAGCTGAAGCTTGCCTTGCATCCTTGCACTCGCTGCGCGCATGGCCACGTGAGGTCTATGACCCGGAGAAGATCAGCCTGGTTGATATTTTGCGCTGGTTTTGGGAGTCACATGACCCCACGCAGGGCAATGGCCAAGGGAACGACCGAGGCTCGCAGTACAGCCCCTTGGCGCATGGAGATGGAGGCAAGTAAGGCAAGATCTCTCATCCCGAGCTCTGGAGCCGTGTACTTGTGCCTGAGGAAGTGCCTTGATCTTTTTCGACAGTGAGCAGGAGCAGCTGATGCGAGCAAGCCGCCCTTCTGATTGGCTCAAGCTCGTGGGCTCCAAGCAAGTTGGCTGAGGCAAAGCAGCATATGAGAAGGCGCTGGCAGCCGGAGGCGGGCGCGTTTTCGTGTGAGAAAGCCTCGCCGCACGTGGCAGGCATGAGCCGGGGCCGGGCCATCACCACGGAGATCGTGGCGGCCTCCGATTTCGAGGTGCCCTTCTACTTCGCGGAGGACTACCACCAGCAGTACCTGGCCAAGCCCGGTGCCAGGCCGTACTGCAGCGCGCAGCCGTTGCAGGCGCTTCGGACCTATCGCTCGAATCTGTTGAGAATCAATGGAATCAGTTGAATCAATCACTTATCAGTGGCCACAGTGGCATCGGTTGAATCCGTCGCATTTCTCTTTCGCAACAGAAACGCGGAAGCCGAAGCGTCGCCTGCCGAGGTGCCGCTCCCGGCCTTCGAGGAGTGGGCGTCGCCGGAGCTGAAGGCCCACGCGCCGAAGCTGCCCGAGGCGCGGGGCCACGGACGGGACGGGACTCGGAGCCTTGGAGCCTTGCAGGTAGGATGTTTCAGGCATCGCGTAGGCGTCGCGTGATTGTCCGTCTTGCGATTTCCGCATTGACCTTCTTCCGGCCAGGACTTCTGGAAGCAGCACGCGCCGAAACCACACTGCCGCCTGGCGAGGGTCGCTCGGGGCCGGGCTCAAGCCAGCTCGCCAAGGTGTGATCCGATCCCCGCATGAGCCGATCAAGTGGTGAGCAGACCCTTGCACCTCACGCTTTGCACGCGAGAGGCGTGCGTTGTACAGTCTCAACGTTTTCGTGCAAGTCGGCACCATGTGAGATACCGTGACAGCGGGTCAAACGGTCAAACTCGTGCCGCACGAGCTGAGACGGAGGTTCCAAGAAGTGAGAGACTCGCTCGCTGAGGCCATGGGGCGCAGCGTGGCGAGCCGTCAGCCGTTGTGACCCGAGGCATAGGGCCGCACGGCCAGTAGAGGAGTGGCGAGCAGAGGTCACAGCTGAGGTCCGCGAAGCGGCGGCGGTCGCCCTGAAGCATTTGGGCTTATGACGGGCGCATAGCGCCCTAGACGCGCGGCCAAGTCCGTTGCAGAAACATGAAAGTCCGTTGCAGCACCGCCGGGAATTTGACTTTCAGAATTCAATGGCAGTCAGGTGCGCTTGCGTGCCAGTGAATCCGTGCGGCATTGCTCAAGCCGGGGGTCCGGGGTTCCGGTCATGGCGCGGAAAGGCATGGCCCTCGAGTGGAAGCGTGAGAGAGTGCCGCGAGAGCGGAAGAGTGTGGAGGTGTAGGACTGCCCGTCTAAGGCTCGCAGCGGTCGCGGCAGGGGCCAAAAACAAAAAGTTTCCGGAGAGCACGGGGCCTGTGCATTCTCTCTCAGGTCCAGCTCGAAGAAGGCAGATGACTGATGTGGGCAGAGAGTTTTGGGAGCAGATGGCATGATTTGGTCAAACTGGCCCGCCGAAAACGCGACCAAAACGTTGGCCATATACTTCAGAGATCCCACGCCCCCGCGATGTGTGCATGTTAGGCGTCTTCCTCTGCACGGCACCGAGGGAGCTTGAGAGCGCGAGAGGGGGCACTCCGGCACTCCGGACTCCTGAGGCAAAGCACTCCGAGGCACGGGAGACGCGGAAAAGTCGGGCGCCAGCCAGCCCGAGAGTCCCGAGAGCAATCGAGTCCATCGAGTCCATCGAGTCACTCGAGAGGCCGAGAATGGGGAGCACGACGGCACGGAGCCCAGTGAGCGTGAAGCGGCGAAGCGCAAGCCCAGCAAGCCCCACATGCCCCGCGAAGGCTCCAGCGAGCCTGGCTCTGAGAAGCCGAGCTTCGGAGCCTTCGGCCCTTTCCCTTCTGGAAATGTCTTCAGGCAGAGCGTCGTGCGAGAATCCACTGAAGAGGAGGAGGAGGCAGGGGCACTGGGAGGGCGTGGGCGACGAATGTTGACAGCCAGGCAGAGAAGAAGTCGGAGTCAGAGAAGGCTGGGTCTTTCACTGCGTGCGGCGCTACTGCGGCGCTACTGTGGCGCTGCTGCGGCGTGTGTGCGTCTCGTTTTGGGGGTGACCTCAGGCCAGCGACGAGGCCAGAGTGAGCGGGGAGCTCATTCCGCTTACTTGCAAGCGACCCCTCAGGATGGGGAGAAAGAGGCCGCTGGGCACGGAGACAGCTGAACTTGGCATCCTCTTCGTTTTGCATGTGGGCATCCCGGTTTGTGGCTTCAGGTAGAGGTGCGGGCAGAGGCCGCAGCCGCTCAGGCGGGCTTTGGGCATATTGGGACCGATGCATTCGAGCCAGCTGTCAGGCACAAGAAGCCCGGGCTCGGCTGGAAAAGGCCAAGGCATGGCAACGCGATGCCAAGCCGGCCAGTGGCAGCCAATGCAGCGACATTGGGGTTGGAACTGCGGTTTGGTCCGGCAAATGTTTAGCAGTTCGTGTTCATTGCTCGCACTGCTTGCTCCAGTTTTTTGTCAAGAGAGGCCACATGTCCACTTGCACCGACATGCAGAGCCAAGGGAGGTCAAAACCAGAAAGCCAGCGACGCCAGCGGCATAGCAACGCGGCAGCGCAGCATCGCGGCATCGCGGCATCGCGGCATCGCACAAGCCTTGACGACTTGGCCATGGGCGCATGCTGCTGCACCGACAAGCCATCCAGCAAGGACGAGCTCCTGGGTTCGCAGGCGCTGGGCGGGTGCTTGCAGCCATGGACATACATGGACCAAGTAGCACGAGGTCAGCATCAAGTCCGCCTGGATCAACAAGGATCCTTGGAGTGAATTCCGAATCTAGCTGAGGGACTGAGGGAACTGGTCGATGCACTGGATGCACCGGGATGCACTATGATGCACTCAGGGCTGGGAGGGCACGACTCACTTCCATGAGCACACGGATCAGGCCTGACAGCCTCTGAGCTGTGCAATTGGTCCAACTCTCGCATGAAAGGCACGCGAGGACTCGGACCTGCCCACAGGCTTGCTTGAGCCGCTCGCTGGAATGTACCGCATTTCGATTCGCGTTTTCTTGCGGCAACTTCGGCCTAGGCGACTCAACGGCCTTTGGATCCGGAAGGATGACGGCAAGCCCTTAGGTCCGCACCTGAAGAGAAAATATGAATGCCTAGAAGCATGGCATCCCTAAGGCGAGATGATCAATGGCCAGCTTGTCTGGGATTCTTCTTTGGCATTCGACAAGTGCGGCTCCGATTTGTATCTTGCTTGTGAAGTCAAGCCTTGTATGCCTTGATTCCGAGGTGCAAAGTCGATGCCAGCGGGCCAGACTCTGTGAAGATCAGAATCAAAGAGCATGAG